GAAATTTTCAAAACTTTACATTTCTCATAACTTATGAGTTAATTGAGTATTAAAATGAAGACTCTTCATTTTTATAACTCATGTTTTCTTATAATGGTTTCTAATTAAGGTGTGACCTTTGGTTTTCCATAACTTGAGGACAAGTTATGGACTCCATTAAAACACGTAATGATCAAGAATTATACTACCAAGGAGGTTACAAATAGTTCCTATGATCATCTAATCTCATAAGCTCAAAAACATGATTACCAATAATTTCACGAATCATAAATAACTTATATAAAACTTGTAATTTTTGATAATAGCCATTGTAAATGGATTAGCATAAACATTACACCATCCAGAACAAGTTTTATAACACCAAAACAATTTAGGGTAATGTTTCTAGTCCATTTCCAGTAGCAAAACTCGAAAATCTAGACACTGCAGCCTCTACTCGTCGAGTGCATGAACAGACTCAACGAGTAGCATGCATTTCATCGTGGACTCGTCGAGTCCACCCATGGACTTGGCGAGTTCATACGTGCAGTGAACAAAATATTCTATTTTCAAGCTATTTGCATCAAGTATCAAGTAAACAAGCCTAGGCTATGATACCACTGATGGGTTTTGAGCATTCTAACACTCATATGGTGTACATGCAACCTTAGATAACCTTGGATCTATGTTTGACTAAGATACATGCAAATAATTATTTTTCCAAGGTTCTTATCCTAACTAGCATGGCATGGGGTACTTGAATCAAATAAAGCTAGTAGAATTACTGACCTTGTAGTAGTTGTTTATTGCTTGGAGTTTAAGAGCCTAACACCAATAGTGTGGATGCCTCAAATAAAAGTCACAAATCACCACAAACTTGGAAACTTGAGAGAATAGTCACAACCTTCTTGAAATCGACCCTCTTAGTATACTCACCACAACTAGTTGGATTTCAAGAACCAAAGCCTCCTTTATATAGTGTGGTGGATTAGGGTTACATCCATGTAAACCTTAATACCCATGTCTTTTCATTTCCATGGGATCCATGGGTTAAAGCTCCATGGAGTATCCATGGACTTTCCATGCAAGCCTAGCCCATTCCAAATAAGCATTAGCCCACATTATATAAATACCAGAGCCCATATTTAATTAGTCATACTTTTAATCTCTAAATTAATTCTAAATTAATTATAGATCAACACTAATTAAACAATATGAGTTTATATTAATATATTAGAACTTATAATATATTAATAAATTATAGCTTATACTATTCTCAAAAGATTATCCGTAAATTGTTCTGGTGAAGTGCAACCCAAAAGGACCATGCCGGGTCGGGTCAAGTACATACCAAATATAGTTATGGACTTAAAGACTATATCCAACACATATCTAGGTGCTTTATCTTCAACTTCAAGGAACATCAAAACAAATTTGAAGAAAATCAGATGAAGGTATCTTTCTGGGATATTCCTTGACATCAAAGGCATACCATGTTCTGAACAAAAGATCCAAGAAAATTGAAGAAAGCTACTACATTACTTTCGACGACAACAACATAAAGATATATAAGAAGAGTGATTGTTAAGCGGAAGAGATCTTTCCATGAACAAATTCAGAACCTGTTCCACTCATGAATCTATAAAAAGATTTTCTGAATTTATTTGATGAACCTGAAATTGCAATCTCTCCGGAATCCAAAGCCAAAGAAAATCAGTAAGATGAATTGCTGAAAATAATTGCTGATGCTACTGAAGACATTAAAATTCAGAATGCCAACAATTCTAGATGAAATTGATCCTCTATCTCTTTCCAAACCTAATAATGATGCTTCTTTGAGGTGGAGACTTCTACTCCAACTACTAAACCAAGTGCAATTCTCCAGGGGGAGGATCATATTGCGACTACTGAACCAAGTGCAAGTGTCCAGTAATCAAAACTTCCATCTGTTAACAAAGTGGACCAAAAATCATCCGAAATCCAGGGGGAGGATCGAAGACAATTTCTCTAGTGTTCTGACACGCGCACATCAAAAAGATTAACAAAAGGCTTTTTTTCCAAATTAGAATTTTACAGGTTTAATATTTTTGTTTAAAAGATTGAACCTAAAACGATTCATGTTGTGCTTGATCATGAAGAATGGGTTCAGGCGATGCAAGAACAACTAAATGAGTTTGAAAGGAATAAAGTATGGAGATTGGTTCCAACTCCAGAAAATGCTTCGAGAGTTGGCATGATGTGGGTGTTCAAAAATAAAATGGGTAAAGATGGCAACATCATTCGCAATAAAGCACATCTGGTAGTTAAAGGCTATTTTCAAGAGGAAGGCATTGACTACGAAGAGTCATTCACTCTAGTGGAAAGACTTGAATCAATCCAGATCTTTCTAACTTATACTGCTCATAAAAAATTTGAAGTCTTTCAAATGGATCTTAAGTGAGTATTTTTGAGTGGAGAACTTGAGGAAATTGTCTATGTGGAACAACCACCAGGTTTCCTTGATGAGAAATATCTCAATCATTGTTACATACTAGACAAGGCAGTGTATGGTCTGAAACAAGCATCTCGTGCATGGTTTCACGCGAATCATCATGAACCTCATATGGTAGTCATGAAGAATATACTCTGATACCTCAAAAGAACAACATCTCTCAGAATATGGTATCCCTCCAATTCACGAATCTTTGTGCAAGCATATTCAAACGCTGACCTTGGTGGTTATGGCCGTGATCGAAAGAGCACATCAGGTGGTTGTCAGTTTTTGGATGGCAAGCTTATCAGTTGGCAATCCAAGAAACAAACTTATGTGTCTTTATCCATAGCAGAAGATGAATATATTAAAGCGGCTTCATGTACATCATGTGTGGTGTGGATTCAGAATCAATTGTTGGACTACGGAATCAACATGAAGAGAATTCCCCTATATAGTGACTCTGAAAGTTCCATCAGAATATTCCGTAATCCGATGCAACACTAAAAATGAAACATATAGCGTTGTGATATCACTTCATAAAGGATCATGTTGACGACAGTAATGTTGAAGTTCACATCGTACGTTCCTCTGACCGGGTGGCTGACATCTTCACAAAGCATTATCTGAAGCATCTTTCAGTCGGATCTTGCAAGGGTTTCGGATGATTGAAGTTGAATCAGTTCCAAATTCAAGTTCACAATAAAGCATGTTTCTGTAGCATTCCGAATGGTTTCATGCTTTGGAATCCGTTGGAATTCACTATTCACTTCCGAATGGTTCCGATCTTCGGAAATGGTCAGAATTAACTGATCACTTCCGAATTATTCAGAGCTTCAGAGTAGTTCTAAAGGCATGTTCATTCGGACTTCGGAATCATTTATCTTTCAAAAACTCACAAATAATTTCTTTACTTTTATTTTATTCAGATAATTCAAATCTAAAACAGATTTTTTCTCCATTTCTGCATTTTCTTTTCAGAAATCCAAAAATCTCAAAATATTTTCTTAATTTTCTTTTCCAAAAAACCAAAAACAACAAAAATATTTTCCTTTTAAGGTTCACAAGAAAATTCATTTCTGAATTTCAACATCATATAAGGAATTGACAGTCAACTCCACAACTTCTTTCTACCATATCTTATCACACATTCCATGTAATCCCATGATTACTCAAACAAAACCAGTTTCAGTATAGGATTAGAAAACTCTAGTTCGTGATCGTAAAATCATTATCACCATGATTTTCATGAAACTCTATCATTCTACTCCCAATCTATTATTCTCCATCAATTTGTTGTTCACAATTCCCTTTAGACTCTTAGGTACTACCACTGATTTTTAGGTTACAAAACATTTATGTTTATTATCTTAAAATTGTTATCACCATAATTTCGAGTGAAACCAAAATCCGAATACCATTTCTGAATTAATGGTGAACAAATTCTTTTTCTAGATCTTACTTTCTGAATTGACGGTGAAAAACTTTTTGTTATAGATTTTTTTACTTGATGAATTAATGGTGAACAAATCCCCATTCTAGCTATTTACTTAATGAATTGACGAATACAATCTTTTTATTTGTACCATTAATGTTCAACATCTCGTTTTCCCAATGTGTGATCTTAATGAAATGTTCTATTACCAAGTCATTTCTTCCCAATAGATCCAGGTTCTTCAATTTTTTTAAATAATATTTCCAATTGAACATTTTCTGAACTACCTGGTTACTTCAAACAATTCCCAAGCTTATTTGTTATTATAGATACGCCGTTCAAACAAGTACTTCATTAAAAATTTTGGACTTATGTTAAGTTTTGGAGTCTCTTTGAAGCTCAAGCCACTTTTAAAGCCTACTAAAAGATGCCTTTCATAGTTTCTTACTAAATTGGTGATCATAATTCAATGGGACACCACACAAGCACTTCAGAGTCTTTCTTGACTCAGAAGGAAGAGATATTTGTCTAGGATCATACTTCGTTTTCATATTAAACTCGTTTTGATATTGCTTAATTCCTCACACTTAAATTTTCTTTATTTCTATATCTTTGGCACACTCTTGTTTGCACTAAAAATTTTTGGTTTTTACTAACTCAGGTTACTATTCTAAAATTACATGATACCAAAAAGACTTGTCTTTAGAATTGCATATCAATGAAGAGGTGTGACTTTTGAATTTCCTAACATACGCATGGTTGTAATGGTTTCTGACAGTCATTGATGAGCTAGCACAATATTATTGGCTAATTATTTAGTGTGCAGGAACGTGAAACAACGGTTTCTCTCACCACTCATCGTATGTCGTATAAAAAGGATTTTCAAATGATTCACTTTCTCTCACTCCAAACTCATCTCTCACAATCTCAAAGGCAAACCACTAAAGCTTTCAAATGTTCATCATCTTCTTCATTGCAACAATGGCTGCTTTACCCGAAAAGGTGTCCTTTGCCAACCAATCCTCATCCGTGATCACGCTATCTTGAAGCTTAATCAAATATGATCATTGATTTGGATGCTTCTCGATACAATGCCCTACATCATCCTATGTTCGAATGCTTGATATTTTCTCCATAATGAAAGCCTTAACAATGGTAGACAAAGTTCCTTTGGTGCATCTTTCAAGGGCGTACTCCTCATCTATCTATAATCTTCAAGATGAAGTCATAAGCTTCAAGTTATCAAACAACAAAACGTCGATTAACAAGCCTAATTTATATAAGTTGATAGGGATTGTACCTCCTGAAGTGAGTGTTAACCCATAACCGATCTCTGGTCCTAGCTTGATTGAGATGTTTTAGCAAATGGGATATTCAAGCGATATCTCTCTTCTCTCCAAGTTCAAAAACTCATTCTTACCACTAATGTGGAATGGACTCTTCACTATTGTGTTCAAAGGTCTTTTAGAACGGGTTGCAGGTTCTGATAGCGCTAATAAGATGTTCTAAACTCTTCTATATGGGATTTTCTATGTAGTATATTTGGATTATGGTTCTGCTAGGCTCAGTTCGTTCTGAGCACCAGCTCGACCACTCGACACATGAAAATTTCATGTGTTCGTTTGTGATCGATTGTCGTTCACAAGGTGTTGTTACACTACAAAGTTCAGGTGATGAGGGACTCCTTGATGATAGAGATTCCCAAACTCTAGACCACAACATTTATCATTTCAGATCCACGAAATTTCAGTTTCGTCGGTTCAATCTTGGAGGCCATGTTAGCAAAGGTTCTGTTGGAGGAAAGAGAAAATCGTTCCTTGGCCTCATCAAGAATTCATCCAATCCCTGCTAACCTATAACAAGTTATTGATGCCGCTGACAAAACCGAAAAGAAGAGGAAAGAGAAAAACAAAAGCTTCACCTTCAGAAACTATGAGTGTTCCAAAGAAAAGCAGGAAATAGGCTCTGAAACCCCTATCTCCCAGTCCTATTCTTTAAGACGAATCAGATGAAAGGACATTATTGGAAGTCCAAGCAACCACCACTCAACATCATGAGGAAGAGGATGCAACTCACACTTCAGAACCTCTAACCATCAAACCTATTCTAACAGTATCATCTCCTCCTTCCTCATTTCCTCCAACTTCTAATATCTTTGAATCCATTATACAAGATCTGTTTCTAAACATTGCAATTCCACCTCCACCACCACCAACTAATCCAACACATTGTGTAACCATACATTCACCCCTCACATCAAATTATGATCTCAACCATTCCACCCTTACCCAAAAATGCCCCAACTAGAACCCCTGTTCAAACCTCACTTCCCAAAATTTCAGTTCCCATTTCATCAACAATCTTTATAGATTCAACTTCTCTCATAACATCATCAACATCTCCTCCACTATAAGTTACTATATCCATATCCTTTTTCGAGGAGATACACACTTCACGAATCCTTGTCAATGCATATGATGCGGGGGGAAATGTCAAAATCGCTGAGACCTCCAAATATGACCCATCAACTGATACTCCTATCCACGAGGATGAAGAAATCTTATTCGGGGATGATCAAGATAATTTCACTGATTTCTTCTTCAGTCCTTTCGTAATCAATCTCAGTGACGATGATGATGCTACCATAATGAAGGGGAAATTTAAGAAATTAAATGAGAAGCTTAACGAGATCCTAGAGCATTCTAACGCATTCTCTTCAATCAAATAGGAGAATTTGCTTACAATTTATAAAGCCACTGTTAAGATGCTCACATGCTCACCTCCTCAAATGAAAAAGTAATTGAAGAATCCTCTAAGGAAATCCAAGATTCTGAAAAGAGGATTTCAGAAGCGACTGAAAAGGTAGAAAAACTACATCAAGATGTGCAAAGTTTCATGAGTGAATTTCAGTCCTCTTTGGATAGAAACACGACTGAAATGAACAAGGTGATAAAAGGATTTTTTCATAACTGAAATCCGAGAAAGAAGATTTGTCAAAGATACGTGCAGATATCAGGGTCGACAATGTCGAACTGCATATAACCCTCACCACCAAGATTGAAAAGCTTCAAGAGGACTTAGGCATTGAAAAATAAAATGATAGATGAATAGGCTGAGAAAACGTAAAAACCAACGGTCTTTCTATAAAGCTAGAGCATGTTACCCAGATCATTGCCCAACTTGAAGATAAACGAGCATTGGTAAAGGGGTGAATTTCTGAAATCAACCAATATTTGTTGAGAATGGCTGAAACTAGACTTCCTCATTCACCGTCTCCATTTTAGACATAGTCTCTCCGAAAAGCTATAACCTGTTTTTTTCCATGCTCAATCAAAGGCAAGGTGTTTCAGGAAGCGGTGCCTTGGCGAAATAAGGGGGAGAGGGGGAAGAAAAGAAAAAGGATGAAACTGATAAGAAGGTTAATGGAGCTTCTGATTTAGAAAAAGGCAAAGGAAAAGGCCTTGCTGAAGAGGAAAATGATGATGAAAATCCAAAAATGTCCGAGTCTGAAAGAATTTCAATGGAGAAAAGAGACCAAGAGCTTGATGAGCTCAATTCTCTTAAAAGGAAGTTTGAGGTGGAAAAAGCGGAGGCCATGAATTTGAAAATTGTTCATGAAACTCAAAAATCTGTATTTCCAGCATTGTCTCACAGTTACATTCAGAAGGAAGCCATAGAGGAACTGAATCTCTACTACATGGAGCCCACCACCTAGTTTGATTTTTCTAATGATATGGAATGTGAGTTTGACATTCCCATCACTCTGAGGGATTTTCTCTTTCGTTGTTTTGAGTCGATTAAGAAGTCCATGATCTCCGATACTGTAGTAAATCAAAAACTCTTTTAGTTTTAGTTGAAATATGTGAAACCATAGTATGATGCATGAAACTTAAAGAAAATTGTCGCGTAGAAGGTTGGACTACCAATTCAGATCGAAGACTTCCTAAATATCCCATTTAAAGGATTTTGAGGTGCCGGTCACGAGCCTCATGATTTCACGTTAGCGGAATTGCCTTTTATGAACCCCCACAATTGGTTATCTCTATTCCTCATTGTGTCAAAGGATGTACAGAAGTGTGAGCCTATTGTTCAACACTTGAAGCGTATGATCAAGTGTTATATTCTTGACTTTGTGAAGATGGATGTAAAGATCGCATATGTTTTGAAGAAGAGGCCAATTGTGAAGCCCAAAGAACAACCTAAATGCATCCAGTTTTTGAAGACAGGGATAATACGAAATAAGCATTGGAGTATTGTCTACAAGAGAAAAGAAGAGGAAGTGGTTCAGAACTTCATTTTCTTTTTTAGGTACAAACACTTATACTCGTCTTCGGCTCTCAAGAAAATATTATTCTCTGCCAAAGCTCACAAAGTAAAGTCTCCTGCCGACATCAAGTGTGTTGCGGATATGATACGTTGATATCTAACAGTTCAAGGCTCACTTTTTAAGATTATTTCAGAGATCTTTATTGCACAATGACAACCATGATGACCTCCTGCCAATTTGAAACAAAGGGGGAGATTGTTAAGACTTTATTTGTTGTGTTAATTAGTTTTATTTGTATTTTAGTGTACATATTTCGATTCCAAAATGGACATGTGCATCTTCAGAATCTTAGTTCAGTAGGTCTATAAATAGAGCTCTATTCCCATTGTATTGCACCGTTCTTTCTGTAATCTTTTATGCACTCATAGAGTAGCTCCGTGTTGCAAAGTATTCTTTGTGCTTATTAATACAGATTGAGCTTGTTTCATTTCATATCATTCACATTATCTGAATCGTTTTATAATTTTATATTGAATATAGAATCCATCGGGCATACCATGTATGTCGAGAGGTGCTTGACTTGTCGGATAGTCAAGGCCAAGCACCAAAGGCCGCATGGCAAGTTGCAGCCACAAGAGATTCCCATGTGGAAATTGGAACATATTACTATGGATTTCATCACCAAGTTACCTCGTAAGGCTAAAGGGAATGATGTAATTTGGGTAATATTGGATCGGTTAACCAATAGTGCCTACTTCTTAGCAATCTACTAGAGGTCATCGACCGAGAAATTGGCCGACTTGTATGTGTGCGAGAATATTCCTCGACATGGTATTCAAGTGTCCATTGTATCAGATCAATATTTTAGGTTAACATCTTATTTCTGGTAGAAGTTCCATGAGGAACTGGGTACGAGGTTGCACCTTAGCACTACTTATCATCTTTAGATGGACGGTCAGAGTGATCAAACCATTCAGACACTTGATGACATGTTAAGAGCTTGTGTTGTTGATTTTGGTGGGATTTGGGACTCCTACCTTCCTTTAGCTAAGTTTTCATACAACAACAACTTCCACTCTAGTATCGGTGCACTATCTTTTGAGCTCCTGTATGGGAGGAAGTGTAGCACTTCTGGGTTGGGGAGAGGTTGGTCATTGGGTTATGGGAAGGATTGAGGTAATCCTTCAGAAAAATGATCTCATCCAACATATTAGGCAAAGAATTCGGACAACTCAAAGTTGGCAGAAGAGTTATGTTGACAATCGTCGATCCGACTTGGAGTTCCAAGTCGGGGACATGGTCTTGCTAAAGGTATCACCCTGGAAGGGTGTAATACGCTTTAGGAAGAGGGGAAAGTTGGAGCCCTGATCTACTAGGCCATTTAGGGTGGTTTCCAAGGTTGGAAAGGTAGCATACATATTGGAGTTTCCTGAGGAGCCCAGCCAGATCCACAACACTTTCCATGTTTCACAACTGCAGAAGTGTGTGGTTGATGATTCATCAGTTGTTCCCTTAGGGGATATTCAGGTAGATGATTGCATGAATGATGTGGGGAAACCAGTTGCAATATTGGATCGAAAAATGAAGACCTTGTGCAACAAGGTGGTGACTTCAATCAAAGTTTAGTACCAGCATCATAAGGGTTCTGAATAGACATGTGAACCCAAATAAGAGACGCGAGACCATTTCAAGGATGAAGTCTAGTTCAAGTGGGGGAGAAGTGTAACATTCTTATGAAGCGTATTTCCAATTTTAACCTAAGTATGAAGAGTTATCACATTTTATCCCTTGTGTATGAGAAAACTTGCAATATGGCCCATAATGGCATTTTGGTAATTTTAGGTCGAGGTAACGTACGTTGGGCGTACATAGTGTACACATGGTCTACATATGATTAAAACCCTAATTTTAGGGTTTGGACCCTATATAAACATCTTTAACTCTCAAATGCTCACTCCATCACAAGCCTCCAATCCTCAGTTCGCCCATTGCAACCCTAATCTCTTGTGCGTATTCCTTTGAGCTCAAAAGAGTGTGTTTGTCGTGCCTTTGAAACAAGATGAAGAAAGAAGCTCCAACTTGAAAAATCAAGACCTCATAGATTTAGGAACACATCACCTCCAAGCTTCATTTTGAGATATAGAGTTTTGAGCTTGATGATTCTATCATTAGAACTTGTTATGTTCTAGTGTATTCTTATTAGTCCCATATTCGTGGTCCTTTTGGATATGAGCTACCGTAGACCCATTGATTTGTCATTTTAGACATTTTAGGATGGTTAAAGTGATAAAACTATGATTTTGCCTCTTAGTTCTTCCCCATGCATGAATTGGTTGTCTTAATGGTTTAAGATGTTGGGGGGTTTTTAGTGTTAAGAACTTAATGACCATGCATGACAATAAAGTTGAGAATTTTATGGTCAAGGACCTAGGTGCGTACGCTGGGCGTACCGAACGATACGCTTCTTATATACGGTCTTCACCCTGACTCCTCAGTTAAACAGAGTATGTCGCGCTTAGGCCTTTGTATGCCCCACATACTAGGTTGGGTTAACTAGGTTGGTTTGTTGAGTTTGATCAATTTTTACCAAAAGGGTATTTTGGTTAAATTGATATTAATTTTATATTGGGCAATGTTTTAATTATTAGAGTAGATCCAGTTAATGAAGCAAAGATTTATTCAGCTTGTGTTCAGATTGAGACGTAAGTTTTCCTCATTGTACTCATGGGTCGAAGGAACGCATGTCGGGCCATTAGATTATGTATCCTGGTTGTAGGTTAGTGATATGCTAGTATGGTACTGTTATGTAGATCTGTACGGTTATATGCATTTGTTGGTTCTGTATTTATGTTTGTTTAATACATATATCGACATATTGTAGTTGGGTTGAGACGATCATGCTTTGTGCTGTAAACCAAGATACACGGGGCGATCCAGATAGGTTATAGGCCATGTGAGGCAGTCCAGTTAGGCCGAAGGCCGTCGAGCGGTCCATATAGGCTGTAGGCCCTACGAGATGGTCCAGTCAAGTTGAACGCTCATAGTTGCATGATTTGTTGGTATGTTGTGTGTTGGTACTTTGGGGGAACTCACTAAGCTTTGGCGTATAGTTTTAGTTTATTATTTCAGGTACTTCTGATGATCATGGGAAAGTGAAGGCTTGATCGTGTACATCTTCCTATTTTCATGATATCGATTTTTACGACACTCTAATATCACTTTACTTTTGAAACAATGGCTATTTTTGTAAACAATTATGGTAAATGGTTGCTTTAATTTTTTATTTTTTATTTATTTTTGGAGTGTTACAAGTTAAGGACCATGTCAATGGCTAAGTCGTCATCAAATGACACATTGAGTGTATGGAGTTTCTCAACATACCTTTGCATATTTTGTACATGAGGGTATGAAAGCTTTGACCACATTGAAATGTTCTTGTCTCACCTTCTTGTGGAACTTTCCATCAAGGTCGAGAGCCATCTCGTATGACCAGTATTCTTCATAGAAATTGGCTAGTTCTGGTGCCATAGTGGGCACCGTGATGCAAGAAACCTTTGAGGGATCATCAAAGTGTTTGTTGTATGAGGTAATTTTCTTAGGAGTAGCAGTGGAATGATTGGTCTCGACAAGAGGCTTCTCGAGGACTTATTCCTTTCCCTCATATCGAAATATATCTTCATGTACCTCATCCAGTCCATGTAGTTGGGACCGATGAGCTTCTCATTCGACAAGATCTAGAGTAGAGAGAAGTTTGAGTTGGAGGAGCCACCTTGAGTAACAACGAGTTCACCATTCCCAGAAATCTATATAAAGAGATATAGTTTTAAGTTAGTGATATAAATCCTTAATATTTTAACCCAAAATAAATATTCATGGCTAGAAACCAAAATACAATTAACAATAACGAAGAGGGATGCTGTAATCTGATCGTGAATTTATCAAGGCATGTAATACAAATTTACCAATTTCAATCTAACATGAAATTCCTAGATCGTTTGAGATTCGTTGAATCTTATCAATGGCATGTTTAATCTCAGATCATGTTGTTCAAATTTGTGATTGGGATGCCGAGGATGACAAATAAGATGTGAGTAACCATTCAAACCCGCTTTACAACCTTAATATCATTTATCATCTCAAATTAATGTGTCAGTAAACCACACACACTCCATTAACAATGATAATTTTCAATTTGTCCATAACTTAATTTTATATACCCAAATTAGTTTGCGGGTTAACCATGCACGATCCACTAACGACATGTAAAGAGTGATGTGTGTTTTCATCGACTAGCGGACACTTCTCATTTTTTCCTAATGTAACTAGAGTCGGGATTTATTAAAAAGGTTCTAGTACTTTAATAGCATCATACTTTTAAGAGGTTATGTCTTATCAAATTCATTCAGTTAACGACCTTCACGATACAAATGAGAGATGGGTAGGAAGAGACACTCAATGGCGGTCATTTATAGGTCGCTTCCTTATACACCCCCCCCCCCTAAATAGTATGGCTTCGTTAATGAGGAATACTAGCGATTTGACCGACTTTTCTTATACATATAATATATTAAACTTTTAATCAAATATATAGTACAAGGTGTATTTTAAACTTTTCAAAATACTAGGACTTAAAATTAATCATTCCTTTTAAACAATTAATAATAATTAATTTTAAACTAAATAATGATTTAATCCTTTATCTTAATTAAAAAAATTAAATAAATTTAAATCATATTATTTACCAATTAAACAATTAATTAAATAATTTACACACATTGATTAAATAATTATTTACCAATTAAGTAATTAATTAAATAATTAAAATTCAACCCTAATCCCTTTTCCTTCTAATTTTTGAAAAGATAGTAGCGTTTATCAGGTTTTAATTATTCAAATTTGAAATCATATTAAAATAATAATCAAGAAAACTAGAAACCCTAGGGATATATATCAAATTTTCTAAAATAAGGGGGCTAACTTGAAATTTAAGCCTTTAGCGTTTAATTTCCGTAAACCTTAATTTTTATTAATTCATTTCTGTGGACAACCAAATAGAAACCCTACGGTCTAAGGCCACTGATGGGTTTTCTAGGTTACAAAAAAGATATATGTGGTAGAAAAACATGTAAAACCTCTAGTTCACATGCAACCTA